TAGTTTCCGTTGCTGAGTTCATTTTCAAACAAATGAAACCTTGGAAATGCTTGTTTTTCTTGTTCTGAATCAGATTTTCTCATGCCACTCTTGATTCAAAGCACTTTAAAAAGAAACATTATGCATTTCAAAGCAACGCCACATATCAACAGAACTCAAATGGTAGGAGTAATTTACAAAGACCGAATGCTCGACTGCAAAGGTCACAATGAATGTTAGTTGTGTCTACGTGAGTCTTGCCTGGAGTTTGTGGAACATTTGTCTGCATTGTAAAGCATGATATCAGTGTCCTGAGAGTCTCAACGAGGCAGCCAATGTCAACAATTATTATGTAAACATGCATGCAGAAATTCACTAATATTTGAAAACAGAAATTGGCCATTATCCATCAACAAGTGGGTAAAGCTTTCAGCCAATGTCGATGATCTCAAAATGGGCAAATATCATCCATCCAATGTATCATTCTATCACTAGTAAGGACGCAAGTGAACGTGTAATTTCACAGGAGGTCAAACTGTGCGACGACTGCCTGAAGGTTGGACAGAGTTAGCAGTGTCTGTGTGTGAGGAAGACCTCTCACTGTTTGCTCTTTAACAAACACAGTAACAGCTAGACCTCTTAAATGCTTTTTAATATCACCACTGGCCTGAGGACAAGAAGGAGAGAGAGGGAGAGGGAGAGAGAGAGAGAGAGAGAGAGAGAGAGAGAGAGAGAGAGAGAGAGAGAGAGAGAGAGAGAGAGAGAGAGAGAGAGAGAGAGAGAGAGAGAGAGAGAGAGAGAGAGAGAGAGAGAGAGAGAGAGAGAGAGAGAGAGAGGAAGGAAAAGGAAAACATGTATGCATGTACTTTTTCAATTTTATTTTTTACATTTTAACTTAAGGAAGCCCTGTATTTCCCTTTTTTCCAGTGGATTTTACCATGTAAACAGCTCAATCAGAACATGCTAGTTAAAGAAATGCAGCTAAAAACTATCCAACAACAAACTTAACAGCTAAAGTTTACTTTGATTTGCTTGAGAGCCTTTATACGTCTCTGGAGTCACATTCTCTGATCAGAGATCATACTTTACATCACACTAACACAACATATACCTTCCCTATTATAGAGCATAAGAGTCCAATAGATCTTAAGGAGACATAGACCGCATTTACATTACATGGTTCAAGTGACCCAATTCAGATTTCCTCCCACGACGTGGCATAGATTGGACATGACCCATGATGAATATATAAGCAGGAAAAAAGCACATGGATCCAGATATTCTCAGATCAGTGTCAGGCCTTATTCATATTTACAGTCTGATATGAATCGGATATACGCCCATTTGTGTCTGCCATGTAAGCGGACATATGGGATATTCTCCGGTCAATGCGAATCGCACATCATTGAAAAAAGCGACGTGGCGATTGACGTCGACTCCGGTGGACACCAAACGCGATCACATGACAGCAAGGGCTCTCCTCTTTTTTTCTCCACCTAAAGAGGCCAATGTTTTCCTGACCTTTGAAGATGGTGCAGAAAGCAAAGGCTTGTATTATCATTTCATCTGTGTCCATTTCAAATCTCACCATATTTACTTACTTCCTTTTTGGCCTTTTGCCCCTATGAAAATTAGCCATGGTTTGTTGGTGGACTGATTACCACAACCACAGTTTAAACTATGGTTAGTGTATCAAAACCATGGTTAATTTGTGGGTTGTCATTTACAATAACCATGTTTTTTTGGTTTTATTAGTAGTAAATCCATTGTTAATTTTCGTAAGGGTTTCGTCAGTATGTCTACATTGGGTTGTTTTGCCAATTGCACAGTGTAAATGCAGATATCAAATATGGGTCACTTTTAAAAGATGTAAGCTGGTCATTAAAAAATGTGTATAAAGTCAACAAATTGGAATTTGGCATCAAGACCTGCAGTGTAAATGCGGCCATAGAGACGTCTTTCAGTCAAATTTTGGGACTTGAAACCATTGCGTGATAGACTGGCAAGGCGGCACACAAACGTTTACCCAGCACCATGAGAGACTAGCAGAGAGAGAGAGAGAGAGATTATAAATAGAAGTCAAACAGAGGGTGAGCTATGGGCCACAGAATGCCACAATTATGAGCTCTCATGCTGGAGCCTGGGATGTTGACAACGCAAGAGAAGCACAAAATATACAAAGGGGAGTTTCTTGTAGTTGAATCCCAGCAAATATAGGCAGGTTCTGCCATTGGTTTTGAGGCATCTGGGTGCATTATCCATGTAAACACCATGGATAATTGTCCAGTACCATATTAAATCCATTACCATTTGATACAATCACAGTGCCATGGTGGTGTAAATTGTAAAGCAGCAATCTTGCCAAGATTTTATCTCTCTCACCCACACATTTATTAATCTTCCATGTGGCCAAATTTATTTCACATTTCCACTCACAATATTCTATAACAAACTCTCTCCCTTTGTGCCCAATTTACTGCAGTGCATGTATCTTTGGCTCCATAATTATGTCCCCGCTCATGCGATTTATTTCCAATCATTTTTGTCTTGCTGAGATAAATTATTTTGGTAAAGGAGCTAATCTTGGTCATTATTTTTGCTGTGGGTCTGAGCAAAACCAGTCATGCTAGTGGGGAGGGGAAGCCTGTGCGCATGCGCACATCTACCGTTCTACAGCAGCTCGCGGGGCAGTTAGCATTCTAAACTCCACACTCTAGGTGTGTTCCATTCGACCGTAAGTGGACTGCGAAGTGGACTTCACAGGGTATTTCGCCATCTTAAGTGAGATTCCAAAACGAAGGGAACGAACATGTTCAGTTCGAAGGGCACTGCAAACGGCATAGAGAATAAGGGAACATCGATACATCACTTCACAGGAAGTCAGTGAAGTCCACTTCAACTGATATACCGTGCTCAGGGAGTAGGGAGCAGTGAACACTTGTGTAGGGACCCTGTCGAATGGAACGCACCTTCTCTCACATTTCGGGGATTGACAGAAGCGGAAGTCTTCATTCATAGTTGGGTAAACTTCTACACTGGTAAATGAGAGACTACATTAAATATATTTTTCGTGTTCCGATTTGCTCAAATAGCAAAAGAAAAACTCCACAATAGTGGTTTCACAACTTTCAAAAGAGGACAAAATAGAGAGCTTGATAACGGCAGTCAGATGAGAGAAAGATGTTAACTGTATCTTATTAGAAACACCTTCACCGTAGCATTACCATATATATATATATATTTTTTTTGTAATTTGAAGCAAGTGTAATATAATACAAAAGTATTATAAATATACATACATTTAAAATATATATATGAAGAAATTGCCGGATTACGATGCTGATGACCGTTAAAACGCGTCATCACAGTCTGTGAAAGGCGCGAATCCGTGTAACGGATTTTCACGGTAAAAACAGATGTGTTGCAGACAGTGTTACAGGTCTTTTCTGAGGTAATGTTGGCTCGACACTACATCAGGTAAATATTCTAGACTGTGTGTGGTCTAAGAAAGCTCAAACTCTAGCTAATTGTATGGGAATTGCTTGATAACACGTTTAAAAAAAAAAGTCCTTTGACGGTTTGAAATAATTTTACACAGGATCTGGGACTACAATCGTACATGACTACAATAGCATTCAATGTGAATTTTATTCATAATACACATCCTAAAGGAGGAAGATGGCTTTAACTCGCTGACCCACGGGGACCCAAGTCGTTTTTTATAGGCAAACCGTGAGATTATTCCCGTTAGGGTTGTGTTAGGAGTCCTCTTTCTAAACAAACGATTCCCTCACGCCTGATGAAACATTCCCAATTTCCATCTGAATGTCCGTCACGCTCCTAACCGTCACGTGGTGATAACAATGGGAAAGACAAGGACCATGAATAGTCGTCTGATATGTCGAGACCAATCGTTTTTCTAAGGTCTATTTCTTAAACCCCAGAAGAACCATCAGTAACCCAAATCCCACCAGTCCACGATCATTAAAGAGCCTGCGCGAGCTCAATGGTCATGTAGGGGCAGATGACGTCTGTCAACTTCTTAGAATGGTTTATACATGGTTTACATGCTGCACTTGATCACATACATACATGCATATAGGCTACTGAATGACTGAAGACCAAGAAAATGGACAGTAGCCTATGTGCAGACGCACACACCCACGGACAGCAGAAACCTTCAGATGCACCGCAGCAACAGCTTCCATAACCAGTTCTGCTGTTAACGCCCTTTTAACACAACACACCGAGACTAATCATTTATAAATCAATTAGCCTATCGATTTTTACCAAAAGCAACATGTGGTCCAGTGAGATGAGGATGCCTCTTAGAGCTGGATGGAGAAACAGGAGGGGTAGTTTAAAAATAGCCCCTTTCACAACATAGGGTTCCGAGACCGTTTTTAATTGTGTGCGAATTTATCAAAAACGCCTTTTGTAATGTCAGTTTCTTATCGGTCTCAGTAACTTTGACCTAACCCTATCAGCACAACCCGTCACCATGCCGCTTGCTGTTGTTCTTTGGGATCTAAATGCTTTGACACAAAGCAGTTAACCACCGCGACCCGAGTTTGTTCAACTCCACAACGTGTTTGGAAAGTATGCAAACCGGATCAAGTGGCCGAAACAAAACCGATACATTTGATACTGTAACACTTCCATTCAGTTCGAGGAAATGTAATCGGTAATAAATTCCCAAGCCTCACATTCCAGGATACGCGCTTGTAAAAATGCACTTCAAACAGCCAGCAAACGACATCCAAATGTTTATAAAGCCTCTAAATGTGATCAATACTCAAAATCGAGTGTGTGAGAACAAGTCGAAACGCTTGGTTCTTAAAGTTTTATACGCGGTCTTTGGATAGTGTAAAAGCCAAATGCTGGTTTCCACACTTAAACACCACAGCAATGCTTCAATTACACACTACACGAGTCTAGTCTCAACACAGCTTTTCAAAAACTACTCGCTTTCCTGACCATTTTAACGTTGACAGTTTTGATAATCCCTTTGTGGTACTTACACGTTCGAGTGATCCTTGGATGGCATGTCCTAGTCATAGTTAAATTCCCAAACTCGCTGAAATATCCCGTTCCGTGGCGCGACAGGAATGCGTTCACAACGCGAGCAGCTTCGATCTGAGCAGCGCGAGCACGGACTGCACTGGAAACGATCAATCACGCGCGGAGTGCGCGCCCGGTTACAGCGCTCTATAGCGCCACCGCGCGGCGTGCAAAGACATGACACTCTACACTTTCTTGTGAAGTTGAAGTTTAGTGGTCAAATCAGTTTGATCCCAGCATTAAACACAACAGTGTAGTGCATTATAAAATGCAATACCTTTAAGTTTACCTTTAAACACCAGGGCCTCTCCATCACTGGATGCTTTTAAATCCAGTTTAAAAACCTATTTTTACTCTCTTGCGTCCGAGTGATGTAAACGTTATGTTTGTATGTATAGGATACATTGAATGATTTTGATAGTTAATTTTTATCTCCATTTCTGTTTTTTTGTTGTTGTTGTTGTTTTTCTCTACTCCTTTTCTCTTTATTTTATTTTTATTGATTTATTCTATTGTATTGACTTGACAATACAGAAAATGCAATAATATTTTATAAACAATCATGCCTTTTCGCACAACTTTCTTGTGAAGTTGAAGTTTAGTGGTCAAATCAGTTTGATCCCAGCATTAAACACAACAGTGTAGTGCATTATAAAATGCAATACCTTTAAGTTTACCTTTAAACACCAGGGCCTCTCCATCACTGGATGCTTTTAAATCCAGTTTAAAAACCTATTTTTACTCTCTTGCGTCCGAGTGATGTAAACGTTATGTTTGTATGTATAGGATACATTGAATGATTTTGAAAGTTAATTTTTATCTCCATTTCTGTTTTTTGTTGTTGTTGTTTTTCTCTACTCCTTTTCTCTTTATTTTATTTTTATTGATTTTCTATTGTATTGACTTGACAATACAGAAAATGCAATAATATTTTATAAACAATCATGCCTTTTCGCACAACTTTCTTGTAAAGTTGAAGTTTAGTGGTCAAATCAGTTTGATCCCAACATTAAACACAACACAGTATAGTGCATTATAATATGCAATACAGAAAATTCAATAATATTTTTTATAAACAATGGATAATATAAAGAATGCAAAAGCACAATACAGCAAAACAAAATTATTGGAAACCGTTAGAACCTCTGAAGTTTTTGTTTCACTTTACAGGACAGCAATCATATTGATGCTTCTGTATTATCAGTGGCATAAAACCATTGTAAACTTGCTTATGCTGAAAGCATTAACATATATAACATTAATGTTATGAGTTAAGTGTGTGTTAGTGTTTGTGAGAGCATGTGATTACTTGAATAGAGAACAAAAGCTCTCTCAGGCCACAGAGTCGATTGATCCGCTGGTGGTGACATCTCTTCACTCCACAGACTCACAAACACTGTAACACATGCAATTATAAGCATTTGTCAATACAAATAGTTTATGCAAAACAAATACAGCATCATACAAATGCTACAAAAAGCCTCAACAAAGCCAGATCTTGATCGATATCACCTTTCATTTGATTTATGTCTTCCTCACAGTCTTTTATCCTTTCATGTCTTTTTTTTTAAACCCTCGCCAAACCACATCAAAGCCTCTGTGTTCATATCGGCCAGAAAAAAAGGAAATCACTTTAATGACATGTCTTAGTATATAGGTCATATCTGGCCAGCATCTGGTTCTCAGCCAGTGCTGCTCATAATCACCTAATAAAACAACATTCATATACCGCATGAGTTCATTTAATCAGGTCACTTGATAAATGACAGCACACCAACAGGTTATTTTATTTTGTAATGTTTTTGCATCTTTTTCGGCAGCATTTGATCCAGTAACACTAACACTTTCTTTTCTATTCTATAAAAAAAAAAAAAAAAATCCTGGATTGCGTTAGAATAGATGAAACCGAGAGGGGTCATAGCACTTGTATATTGTTGTCCTACTGTTAGTTTCACTGCTTCTATTGTTCTCATTTGTAAGTGCGTCTGCAAAATGAATAAATGTAAATGTAATAATTATGTACCTCAGCACATGCACTTACTGACTGGTCATCACTCGATAAAGTGTTCAGTCTCTGTTCTTCTGAATCCTGTTAGAGGTGAAGCCACATGGCAAGGATTGACAACCCTGCTGGGATGAGATTAGACCAGCTATTAAAACACACACACACACACACACACACACACACACACACACACACACACACACACACACACACACACACACACACACACACACACCAGACCATGTTAGTACAGCCACCGACCACATTCCACTACTTAAAGACTTCAGCCATAAGGAGATTAACAACTCTGTTTTCTGCACAGGTGTCATATGGACATCCAGAGGCACAGGACTTTATTTACCATGGACGATCTCTATGAAAAAGCCCAGGGCAGGGATGAATCTCATACAGAAGATCTTCAGTTCTTCTAGTGTGTTACAGTGAGTGGTTATTGCAGACAGGTAAGGTTAGATCTGGAGCGACTTATAAAGCACAATTTAAAAAGTACCAAAGTGGAATCCAGCAACACTTGTGGAAAGGGGGAACTTTTTAATAAATTCTATAAATTGCCAACACGTTTCGGGTTAAGAGTCTTCTTTAGGATATACAACAGACACAATGCACGCTATGAACGTTGTGTGACGTGTTGAGTGGAGCTTGTCGGCCGGATCTGGGAACACTCCCCATAACACCCGATGTACTCGTTACGTCAAAAGAAGAATGGCATCTACACTAATATAAGTCTCTCTGTTTATCCTGAGGTTTACCGTAGTCTGCCAGGCTGGATGTGCCTAGACACGACCACAACGCAGCCCTGAAGTGTCAGCAGAGACCGTTTCTACTAGACTATCCTCTTTCCTTTCCCTCTGTACAGATACAAACTTTATCACATGGATTGGCGGAAACGACAAAAAACGCTCTGTTATGCAGGCCAGACAAGGAATTTGGCAATATCACTTTGTAAAGACAGACCGACGCTCATACGCTTTCAATCGTGCATGACACTAAACACGTAATACACACGTGCATGCAGTCACCGTTTTCACAGATTCACGTTTTTGAAGTTTACACAGAGATGATAATGGTATTGTTTTCAAAACTTGTTTTCAAAAACTTACACTTTGAAAGCTATTTCCTATATCCACTAAAACACTGTTGTCGTGTAATTTAACGTCCAGAACGCATTAAAATTGTTCTGTTTTCTGTTGTAAACTAATGATTTATAACTAATGATTTTTTACAATGGAGATTAATCAATCAAAAAATTACTTAAACTGGACAATGACTTTCTTCTAGAGCTGCTGAACAGCCAAAACAATCTCTGTCCCATTCATTTCCTATTATCACTGTAAAGCTGCTTTGAAGAAGCAAGAAGTTGTATACCCTGAAAAAGGCTCTTCAAGGACAACTAATTTCATTATTTTTATGTAAAGTGCTTTGAGATGCTTTTTTTTTAAAGGTACTATATAAAATAAAGTTTTTTATTATTATTATTATAACTCCGGCGCAAAATTAACCTATGGTCTAATAACACATTGGTACCGAGTCGACCGTTCTCTGGGATTTGTTTTCATGATAATCGAATGTAAAGAGTTTTATCTCTAAAAACTGTTTAGCTTATAACGCTAGTATATAGGGCACCGAATAAGTCAAAAGAAATCGCTAGTTAATACCACTAACAAGGCTCAAAATAGCCCCACACTAACACGCTAGCATAATGAGGGTCCTTACATGCAAACCGAAGCATTGAGAACTGTGTAAGTGTACAGACAGTTTAATAAGAAGATGCTTTATAAAGACAATACACATCGCGTATACAGGTAGGAGCCATCTTTGGAAAACAGTCTCGACCAGTCGAACCACGAACGCCGTGCTAAGTGAGCTGGTCGATCGGAATTACGTTTGTGAAATCTAATTACATTTATTATATTATATTTGTTTATTACTGTAAAATATATGGCTGACTAACTACAAGGGAAGAAGGGGTCTCATACTTTCATATGAGATTCCAAGTCACAGTTCAGCTCACTTAGCACGGCGTTCGTGGTTCGACTGGTCGAGACTGTTTAAGCCGCAACGCATTGGTAATATAGAATTTATTAAAGTTCCCCTTCGCACAAGTGTTGCTGGATTCCCCTTTGGTCATGGCAGACAGCAATAGCAGCATGTTTTCTCACACAGCATTCAGACTCATGCAAAAATATAGGCCTATAAGGCGTTATTAATATCCGTTCTGTCTGTTCACAAAACAAAATGCAAATACCAGATATACATCCACTGACATAGTGCTGCAATTTTGGTTTATTAAAATGATTAGGCTTATAATAGGCTTGACTGCAACCAAAAACCTCTCATATTCAAAGCAAAGAAAACATTCCCACTCGACTAACCAGTCATACTGGACCTTTAACTGTAAAATCGACAAAATCCAGGGGACAGACAATGGCAGACGTTACCAAGTTAAAATAAGACACTACTTGACAAGAATGATTGTTTCCTAAAATTGTTTTGAGAATTTTAATGCCAATTCTTATTGTTTACGTTTCAGCTTTGTCTCTATTTTCTTATTTTTATCAAAACAGTAAAAGGTCATTTTAATTTATTTGTGCAAAACATAATTTATATGTGGTATTTAATCTTTGCTATTTCAGTGTCCATCAGTTTTTACAGCAGTGATGCTCATCTCACCTGTCTCTTGTGATTTTACCTGTTAAATACTTTGCATGTTTCTCTTATGCCCCGTGAAGTCATGTATGGAAACACTGCGATGTGAAGCCTTCTGGTTTGAGGGTCGTTGCGTTCTTTGGTTTCAGATTACATTCGGCCTCTTGTCTCTCTGGAATTTGAATGGACTATTTTGGCTCTGACCTCGGACACTTTAATGTTTACGGTCTTTGCATTATGGCTGGAGTTGAGCTTGTTAAAGAGTCCAAGGCACTTGTTTAACCATGTAATCGTCCTTATACCTTATAAAAGACCTTATAAAAAAGTTTGCCACGTCCACACACACACCCACACACACACACAGTTCCTGCTGAATCGCTGTTATGTTGCCTGAGACATTTAAACCTCAGTCACTGATGGCTTCCTTTGAGACTCTATAC